TCCACTCCTGTTTGTACGTTCAATACTTTTCAAGGAGAATTTAGAACGCATAATAAAAGAGTTTAGAAAAGAAAATTCCATGGCATTTGCGAGAATCAAGAAACATCTAATTCTAAAAACTGGATAAAAGAAATACTCAAAATTCCCATTTTAGACTCTCGTGCGGGGATTCAATTTTATTTTCATATCATCTATTAGTCACTGATACAAGGAAAAATTATATCCACATCCGTCAAAATTGAATATGGACGCCAAAGAAATACAGGTAAAATCAGATACCGGAGGTCATATGTAACTTTTAAGTCATCAGATACTGCAGTATTTACAATAGTTAAAATTAATATTTACCCGTATTCATGTTTAATTAAAAATTAAAAATAATACTCGTCGTCCCGTCCCTACCCTGGGTTTAAAAAAATAAATTCATAAGCCATGTAATATATCAGTTTATTCGAGGGTAAGTTTGTCCTATCCAAAACTTAGCCCTTAAGCAACAAGTACAAATGTATAATAGGAATGAACTCTGATTGCGACAGCCATCATCTTAGATCTCACATACCGCGTCCGAAAAAGAAAATTGAACTCATTGATTGGCGCGCGCGCCGGGGGGCGGGGGATTTGAGCATACGTGTAGTCGTATTCGTTAAAACTAGTATGAACACCGTGCAAAATATGACATATTTTTTTCCGTTACGGTAATTTCGTTTTTAACTGTTATAGTAATCTTTTCTTTGAGTTGCTACAGTATTCCGTCTCTGCTGCGGTATTCTTGTGTGCTACAATAATATTTTAAAAAAAAAAATCTATTGTGTCCGTTTTCATGTTTGCTACAATAATATCGCTATAGGAAACGTTACTGTAGTATTTACTGTAGCATGAATAATGAATCTTGGGTTCTTCCATTTATATAGAGGAGTGGATACAAGGGGAATTCAACATATGCGTCTTCGTATTCATTAAGATACAAATATAATTACTAAAAATTTATATTAAATAGGATATAGTTATAAATATAAATATATAGTGAAATTTCCAGATTTATATCTGAAATATCTTAACATATATATATTGATCATATAATTGCAATTATTTCTTCATCCTAAAACTAATAAATTTAAGGATAATTTCGATGATAAATAGATCTAATCTAAGTGTTTAAGATATGAAGAACATATAAATGAATGATTTAAGTTTCTCATATCTGCTTATATATCTATTTTTGTGAGCCCATTTAATTTGACAGAAGCACCGAAAGTAGGAAATAGATTAAAGAAGTAACTTCTAAATTTAAGAAATAGAAAGCAATGGAAGTAATGTTTTTTTATTTGTTTCACATATTTTTTGAAGTAGTGGAAATAGTACTTCTTGTACTTCATTCTCTCTTTTTTGTTTGGATAACAATAAAAAATTGTTAGAAAGTAACTAATATAGAAAATATTAATAAAAAAAATGATTTATTCCTAATTAATATGTATTTCACCTACTTCGAAGCTACTCCCAAGCCTTGAAGGGTAGTAAAATATTTTAAAAGTAAGGATGACACGCATACATCCAATCAGCATTTAAGAAAATACTGGAAGTAAGTTTTTCAGAGAAACAAACATTTTATCTGTTTAAAAGTAGTAAAAATAACATCTACTTTTTACTTCAGCTGCTTCATAATTACTTACATGCAAACAAACATGCCCCTAGAAGTTACTATATCAGTATTTGATTAAGGAGTTGTTTCTATATCTGTATTTTTATTCGCATTCGCATTTGTATTCTGTATGTATATCCATTGATACGCCAAGGCTATTTTCGGCATTTCTCGCCATTCCAAGCGGATCGAAGTATTCCATAAAAACGGGGCACAGTCACAGAGAAGGCAATCTAAAGAACGAAGAAAACGAAATCCAAAGAAAAGGAGAAAACCGAAGGCAAAAACTCCCTTTTTATTCTCTGTCTCTCTTCCTCTTTCTCTCCCTTGCTTTCTAGCTTTTGCAATCTGAGATCGGGGGAGGTCGAGGACGAGATTTTGAGAGATGGGTCTCCTTTCAAACAGGTTTTTTTTTTCCTCCCTTATTTTTCTGGGTTTTTTTGGGGGGTTTTTTTCAATTATTTTGATTTGGGTTTTGTTCTTTTTGATGATGGATTAGGATCGCGAGGTCGAGTTTGAAGCCAGGAGATCATATTTATTCTTGGAGGACTGCTTATGTTTATGCTCATCATGGTCTGTTCCATTTTCCCTTTGGTTTTTTTTTAATCTAGTTTTCTTTTTTCCAATCTAAATGCAACCATGTTTTTGTTTTATAAATAGCAGAAATTGCCTCTATGATTTGCACCATTCACATAAAATTTTCAATTAGATGTTTGGAGTTTGGATAGACTATAGCAATAGATAATTACAAACATGTATATGATTATTACATTGAATGTTGAGGATTATGTCAAGAAATTGATGATATTTGAGTAATTTTTTAAGGGGGGGGGGGGGGGGAGGATTTTCTCTCATTTCTACAGAGCATATGGAGATGTTCTGTAATTTAACCTTTTCCCTTCTTTGTTTTTGAATGGTGTAATTGGCTGATCTCAGTGATGAATAAAGTTTGACAATTGGCGTGCGCTTGAATATTTCTTCATAATAATTTAAAGATGGTATGAGAATGACCAATGAGTTCAAGCTGTGCATTTACAAAGTGTTGTGCAAAAGACTAGGTTCCCGCCTGTTGAAGTCCCCTCAATTCATGGGGTTGCCTTAGATATAAAGTATTATCCTTGATTTTTGCCATATCTTCAAAGGCTTAGTGTAATGGTATATACCACCTTCTCTAATCCTTACTGATAGGCTCATGTCTTTGTTGGGGAGAAACCCCTATGCCGAGATCCAACCAAATAGCCGAAAAAGATAAACCAATACACCAACAAGAGCACAAACATAATCAACACCAGATTTTACGTGGTTCGACGAGATGCCTACGTCCATGGGGCAAGAAGGGAGGAGTTTTCACTATTAGAAATCAAGAGGAACAAACTAGGGTTACAAATCTCTCATAAACCCTCAACAAATCAACTCTCAATCTCTCCAATTGCTCCTAGAATAGAAGCCCAAAGAAAACTCCTTTCAACAGCTCAAAACACTTGCCTTACAAACCCTAGAATCGAGTTTGGGTATTTATAGAAAAGCCAAACGAAACGGGTCTGGAAAACAAACCCAACCCAAAACCGCTACGGCAATCGACCACGATCCATCGCGGTCGACCGCCCTCAATCCAGAACAGTCCTAATGGTCCAGAGACTTCTGCGGTCGACCGCCCACAGAACAGAAACTTCTGCGGTCGACCGTTACGGTCGACCGCCACCAATCCCGACGCCCAGTAAGTCTCGTGCACGAACGCGGTCGACCGCCGTAGTCGACCGCCAATCTGTCTGTCTGAATCTTATCATTTCTACAAATCTTCACCTCGGCGAAGATTCTACCAAACTGAGCCGACACCAACCAAAATCAATGCCTCACTTGTTGCATCCAGTACGCCATGGCAACGGACTCATGACAACGGACCCCATCCACAACATGTCGAGACTCAAACGGGAGTGCGGACACTCATCCTAAAACAACTGTGTCTACTTACCAAATCGGCTGCATCATAACTGACTGCCTACGTATCCTCTCCAAGGAATCAAACATTCACGTAGTTCACCAAATGGCCTCCAAAGGCCCTCAGTCCAAGCTGCGGCTGATAGCATCATTAACGACCCCAAACTGAAGCGATTCAAACACCTCCACCTGAGGTGAAGCAATGGCCGTATCCAAGCTATATCCACCACCTGCATTCGGATCTACCAACTCGTCATCCGCATCCGTATCCAAATGACTCCCACGCTGTGCCACCTCAGCTGGAAAACCCAATAATGTAGAATGACCTGGAGTATGTGGAGTAAGCTCCACCCAATGTGGAGTAGCATCACTCTCCACCCGCTGCGGTATCCCTCTGATCTGATCAATACTCTCTACCTGTCAAGAGTCCAAAGTGACAAACCTGCTCAAACCAAACTCAGAAGCTCCCAACTGATAGCCGAATGAACTCCTGAATCCCAAATGCGCAATCGGATCCAATCTCACATCAACGATGTGACCAAGTGCTGGGTAGCCAAATATCCGACGTCGACCAAAATCTAAAGCAGCTCTATCAGATCTAACAACTCTACACACAGCAGTCGGCAACATCATAAGATAGCCCAATCGTGTCGAAGCCCGAATACCAAATCCACTGCTCGACAACCAACGCCGATCCTCCTCCAGAAAAGAGCGGCACACTAAATCCGCCATCTCATCACGTCGTCCCACTGTTTCCTCCCCTAAGAAGTGTCTCTAACTGCCATGAGCTCGACACCAATGCAAGAAAGGATCCCTACTAGAACTAGTACGACGGGTAACCTCTCTGCCCATACACCTCCTCCAACTGTTACGGACTACTAGGGTTTTATACCAACGGGACTTGGTTGCAACCCAAATATGCCTAGTACAATCCTCAACATAGGAAACAAAATAACGATTACCTCCCAATGATGCATACATGGAAGTGTTTGCGTCGAAAGTTGATGTATTCATTGCGGTATTCATTACAACTTCAATCGTTACAATGAAAACAAAAAAGATTGTCTTTTTATAAGACTTTTACACAATGAAAACAAAAAGTTACAACTCTCGTCAAAACAAACGCAGAGATCGTTTATCGGTCTTCTGCTTGCGTGGGACCTTTGTTTGTGCCGGGGTTTATCCGTGGACCGCCTTAGATCTGGATCCGGTTGATGGAAAATTCGGCAGAGTTTCGCCTTCGCCGAGGAAGTATTTGATTTGAAGCGCTGAAATCGACCAAGCGAAATCAGGGCTCTTCTCGAGATTAAGACCAAGCCTAATCTCAAGGGACGGACGGGAACGAGAGTCGGATCTCTCGAACTCTCCTTCTTTATGTCGAAGAACTCGCCAAGATCTGTCAACCCTCGCTGAAATTTGTGCTCCTTTGACTCCACAATCCGCCAGCACCTCCTCGTCTTGATAATCAATCGCCCCGCTGAAAGGAGGTCCTAGGCTTGTATTTATAAGGCTTCGGAAGCGGTTATTTGGATGAGAACAAGTGATTTGGTCTTATCTTTAGTCAATAACAGCCTAACCACGTTTGTAGATGATATCAAGTCAGTTGGGAACCTCTGGAACCAACAAATCTCGAGAAAAACCATCAAAAACCGAATCCGATCGAAACAGCGCGCGCAGGACAAGTCTGACCCGCGCTTGCGCGGGTCGGTTGTGTTCGACCCGCGCCGGCGCGGCGTCGCGTGATTTCCGACCCGCGCAAGAGCGGGTCGGATGAACCGACCCGCACCGGCGCGGGTCGTTGTGTCGACTCCGCGGCCGCGGGGTCGGATCATTCCGACCCGCACGAGCGCGGGTCCGTTTGGTCCGTCCCGCGCGGTGCGCTGAGATGTTTTGTTTCGCTGATTTCTTGCGTTTTTATGACTTTTCCCGATCTTTCTGGGCCTTGTAGTTTCCTCGCTTTTGTTTACTCCATACGTCGTGTCCGACTTGTATGCATCACGCGAGTGATTATGTACGTTGTATTGACGGTCATCGAGTGAACTGATTGACGCTGGCCGACTTGCATATGCACATGCACGAGCTAAATGATCCTGAGTGCGTGTTAACTGACTGTTTGGGCCGCGTCTGCTACGCTTGTGAGTTGATTAACCGATCGCGGCGTCACTTGGCGTTTTCCATTTCTGGTGGTTTCGTTGTCGTTGTCATCAAACAGTTTGCCGGATTCGCTTCGGGTACTTGTCGGCGTTAGATAACCCTCTTAGACTCGGATAATAATGTTCATCGCCTTCTCTCTGTCTCGAGCTGTGTGCGGACACCTATAGGCATTTTTAGACGCCTACAGATACCCCCTTCAAAGTATTCCAGACTCATTCTTTTATTAAGGAGTCTGGAATGCTTTGGATAAGATAGGCCATCTCCTTAATTTCGTAGAGTGACCTTGAAGTATCTCAATTCTTAACTTCTTCAGTCTTCAATCTATTCATTGTTTTGTCGAATAGGTGAAGTTCTTCCAGCGCTGCGTTTATCGTCTGACCGCTATCGAAATCTTGAACTGATATTGGTGTGTAACTTTCTGAACTTAGCTCGTGCCATTGAGTTGACTTTGAACTAATCCTCTCCATCGGGAATTCATATCTGATTGTAACTGAAATCCTTGGAGTCATCTTTTGCCTTATTTTGGCGAAATTGCTGATGCGTTGACCGGCATTGATGTTTACTGTAACGCGTTGACCGGCGTTAACACAGTTTATACTCGTACGTTTGCTGGAGTCTACACAGTTTAAGCTCTTAAGGCATTGGAGTGTGACGGTCCCGAATGTTGGGCTGTAGGATCAACTATTAAAGCTGATTCATCTGCACATGTGGATCTTATCCTGAAGTTCGTTGGATGTTCAAGTCATGAGACCAACTAATAAAGCTGATACGTCAATGATTCGCATTTATAGAATTTTTGGCAAATTCTCAGCCATCAACGGGTTTGATAAGCCTTTACCGACTACCGTTTGAGTCGGGCTAACATGCGGATTGTTTAAGTCCGTTCCGCATGTAACGTTATGCTAAAAGAGTTAACTCTTTTAGGGCTACGATATTGAATACGTAGACTTCGTCTTTCTCCTGTGAAAAGACTAAACAGCAACGTGTATCAGACGTAGACTTTAAGGTTTTTGGCAAACCCTCAGTCTTCAACGGATTTGGCGTGCCTTTACCGATTACCGTTTGAATCGGGCTTGCATGCGGATTGTTTAAGTCCGTTCCGCACGTGACGTTGTGCTAAAGGAATGAACTCCCTTAGACTTGATGCTACGATATTGAATACGTAGACTTCGCCATTGTTACGGGAGTAGGCTACCCAGCAACGTGTATTAGACGCTGACCTATCCCTACTTAGGCTTCGGGATAAAAGTCCTCAGATTGGAATTCTGGTGTCTTCTTCAATCGGTGAAAGACTAAACCGGCAACGCGAGTTAGGCGTTGACTTATCCCTACTTAGGGTTCGAGATAAAATTCCCCGCGCGTGTGAAGCACGGATTTTGGCGTTATGAATAACGACCTGCCATAATGTCGAATATGTGGACTTTTGTCCTTTTCACGGCAAAAGACTAACCGGCAACGCGTGTTAGGCGTTGACTTATCTC